GTAGAGACAGGGTTTCGCCATCTTGGCCAGGCTGGTCTTGAACCCCTGATCTTAGGTGATCCGCCGGCCTTAGCCTCCTAAAGTATTGGGATTACAGGCACGAGCCACCACGCCTGGCCTCTGTGTGTTCGTGATTCTAAGCACAGGTGGAGAAAGTCATCGTCTTTATTGTTCATGGAGAAGGGAAGGGAGACCAGTAAAGGGGGAGCCCTCCTGAGGATGCACCCCCCGCCTCTGCCCAGGAAGGCAGGTCTGAGGGGCTGCATCATTGCCCACCCTGAGAAAAAGAGGGTTCAACCAGGGGCCCCCAGGTGTCCCCTCTCCAGAGGCTCCCATCGCCAAATCCTGCCTTCCCTTCTCGGGGCTCCTAGGGCCCGCGTTGAGCTCCGGGCAGGGGGCCAGCCCTGCCACTCGGCCTCCAGGCATCGCCCTGGGGTCAAGGCCTCGAAGGTCAGGCTGGTGGGCTTGAGACAGACTCCAGATCCTCCCCGAGGCAGGTCAGGAGGGGGCCGAGCTCTGGGACTGGGGTGCCGAGGGCAGGGGTTGGCTTGGTGTTGACACTGGAGGCCTCTGGGATGGAAAATCCTGAGGAAAGGCATTGAGAATGACACCACCCATTCACCCATCCCCCTGGGGGCCTCGGGCCGCTAGTGACCCGGGCACTTCCTCCCACTTGGGCCTCTGGGTTGCTGCTGGAGAGGGCTGTGGACAGGGTGGAGGGTGCTAGTGACCGGGAGGATAGCCCTGGCCTGGTGACAGAGGGTGGGAGAGGTGATTCCAGCTCCCTCTGCCCCTGACCCCCAACAGAGGTCACCCTGGCTCTGTCTTTGTTTTTGGAGACAGAGTCTCACTCTGTTGTCCGGGCTGGAGTGCAGTGGCACGATCTTGGCTCACTGCAACCTCTGCCTCCTGGGTTCAAGTGATTCTCAGGCCTCAGCCTCCTGAGTATTTGGGATTACAGGTGTGAACGACTGTGCCCAGCTGGCTCTTCTTAAACTTGAGCCTCTTGAGGCACCTGGGCTGTCTGAAGCAGGGATTGTCTGCGGGACACGTTGGATGGGGGTGCCC